AATTGGTTTTATATAAATTAATATATATATATATATATATTAAATTATATGCGATTTATTCACGCGCGGTGACGTAACAAAATGGGTGTCCTCCCTAGGCAAAATCGACGTTCCGAACGTGCCCGGTGCATTCTGTTTTGTCATTCGGGGTCGCTCGGACGACGTCGTCGGCAATCGGGTCAAAAACGCGTCGAAAATTCAAATTTTACAAAATTTCGACCCGCGATCCGATTGTTTCAAAAATTTCATTCGAGTCTTCGACGGGTAACAGTGCAAGCGATGTGAATTATGGCGATCGGACGTGTTGGCTCTCCGAATTGCGAAGTTTGTGCGCGCGGGAGTGCGAATTATGCAGAAGGCCACCCTAAGGCTTAAAAGGTCCTATAGGAATCCCTTTTGAGTTTCCTCATGTTGGTTTCGTCCTTCTAAGTGTTAGAAGTCGATACCACACATGCGAAACCACAAAAGAGTACAGAAGTGGGTTGAATTTCTAAAACGAGGCGGGTCCCATTTCTAAGGTTTTAAGATAGTCAAAGGGAGATCCCTAAGGCTAGATCCTAAGCCCTAAGAGGAGGACTAGACCTCACCAAAAATGAGGTCAACACCCTTATTGCAAAAGGTATTTGATGATGGGTATTGGGCTCTGCCAGTCCGGTCTTACTACCAGCCGAAACCATTTGAATTACCTTCTTATCATTTCGAGCTGTTCTCAGTATTCCAAATGATTTTGGGCTTTTGTTTGTTGTGATCTCTCTGAACAAATCTTCACAAAATTCGAAGGCCTGAAAGAAAGAGTCCCACCATGGATTAAAATTATCTAGAATATTATATGGCAGAGAGAAACACATATTAACTACCTGAATGTGCAGCTATTCTGTAGATGGAGTGGAAACCTGTGTAAATTGTCAAATTATGTGCTGGGATTGCCAAACCTGCTACAAGTTTGACTTGCTGCCTGGAGTTATTTTCTTGTTCCTTAATCATAAAATGTTCAACTCCTTTATGATTGACAAAATGTTGATTTATTAGTAATTTAAGGTCTATGCGTGCTGTAAATTTACTGGAGAGAAGCCACAGGAACAAAGTTGATTTTTTAACTTGGGTCTTTGTTGACTTACCAAGGTTTGTTTTTTTTCCAAATATTGCTTTGGCTTAAGGGAGTATCTTCCTATGCCACTAGGCTCCTTGTAGTTGCTAATACAAATTTTAAGTTGCAGCATAGAAATGCTTAGAATTGTAATACTTTTTAAAAATATCTCGTTTAATGAATTTTCTATATTTCAAGCTGAAACCGTTAGTTGGAGCATCTCAAGATGCAAATTCTGCAAGTGTATCCAATATTTTTTGTCTCAGGAGGTAGCATCTAAAGAATTGTTGCTTGTAACTTGCTATTGCTTCATTTTGTTTTTCTATTATTGGATATGATTGGACTTTTGATTTTGTGGTTAAGAAAATCTCCTTTTTATGTTTTAATAGTTTTTAATATCCAGGTTTTTCTTTGTACGTGCTGATGATTTAATTTTTTCAATGTGTCATCTTCAAACAGCTGCTTGTACAAACTGGCATGTTATCTATGTTTTCAAGTTTTTTCCTGTAAATGGAAAAAAATTCTTATGTTTAATTACATTGCCAACTTAAAATAGGAACATTCTATTTTTATTCTTATGTTATTGTTCTTAAAGGAACTCTGATGTATAAGTGTGATTCTCTCAGCACTTGATATGTTTTGTTCTTTATATAACTTTTTAAATCTAGAGGCTTGGCTTTGTGGATATTGCTAATTTGGCATATTCTTTTATTGTCTTAGTTTTATTGTGTTGGCATAAATCATCTTGTCATTTGTTCACTTGACTTTAGTTTAAGAGCTTAGCCTTGATGTCTCGTCTGGAGGGTAGTTGGGGCTTCTTTGAAGGTTTATTTTCTGAGCTCTCATTTTCTTTGCAAATAACAAATGACTATATTTATTTGCATAGGTTTTGTTCTCGGTCATTGCTTCATGATTCTATTGACCATTCTCTTATTGACAAAATTCCTGGGCGTCAAAATGATCGGAAAACACTTCTAGGGGAGTTAAACTGGATTTTTACAGCAGTTACAGACACCATTGCATGGAATGTTTTGCCTCACGGTATCTAATATGATGATTAATTACTTGTTTTGCTTCTAGTTTCTTCTCTCTTTTGAATAGTTCTGTTAATGTTCTTGGGATGACATTTTACAGACCTTTTTCAAAGGTTATTCAGACAAGATTTACTGGTTGCGAGTTTGTTCCGAAACTTCCTGCTTGCTGAAAGAATTATGAGAACGGCAAATTGTACTCCGATATCATATCCTTTTTTACCATCAACTCATCAGCATCATATGTGGTAGGTTTCAAAATATTGCTGTTAAAATTTCCAAATCGATGGATCGCTATGTTTTTATAGCACATATTCCTTATTCCAGGGATGCATGGGACATGGCAGCGGAGATTTGTCTTTCTAAATTGCCACAGCTGGTTGCTGATCCGAATGCTGAATTTCAGGTTTCAGTTATATTTTCATTTATGATTAAAGATTTACTTGATCATTTTGTTGACATTTTGTATTGCTGGAATTATATAGCTTCAGATGAACAATACACAGGCAGTCCTCATGCAATTAATTGATTTCTTTTTTCTGTTCAGCCAAGTCCATTTTTTACAGAACAGTTAACAGCTTTTGAAGTGTGGCTTGATCACGGTTCTGAACATAAAAAGCCACCAGAACAGTTGCCCATTGTTTTGCAGGTGAGGCGTTTGTGAAGGAATGCAGTTTTCATGTATCGTCTTTCCTACACAATTTTCTTATATTAATAGTTTTACGTGATTTTGTCTTATTTAACCATCACAGATGAGTCGATTCAAAATTTTCACAATTTTATCAACAATAACTGCAATTCTCCTTTTTAAACCACTTCGTTAATTATGATTGAAATTGGCATAGTTATTATTGTTAATTTTCTTGTTATATGTGTTGATTTGTTTGAATGCTTTGGAAATTGACTTCTCTGTCATTCTTTGCGAATCTTGCTTGTACAGAGATACTTATTCTTATGAGTTTATGAAGGAAAATTGCAATGATTTTAATGTTCATGATTTAATTTGATAATCAAGCTCTGTGGAAGGCTTGCCAGATTCTTTGAAAATTGTGCAATTTTTTTTTTCATTGCAAGGACTTCTTTGTTCTATTGAGTAATACTACCTTTTTTTTCAAACGATGTTCATGATGCGTCCCTTTGCATAAAAGGGAAGAGTACATTTACTATGGCTATTATATCATTTTTCAGTATTCCATCCTTTGGAAAATCGTTTTTTTTTTCACTATTCTCTTGTATATCTTAACACCTATAAATGTTTGTTTTGAAAAGTTCTCTTTTTCTTATTTCTATCTCAAGCTTCTTTTGTCATGGTATTTTAGTTGACTATCCTAAAGCTGATTTTTCAGCTGTGGTATTACTCGGAAGGTGCACAGTTGTGCGCATGTTTGTCCACATTGGTATATTGTTGTATTTTGAAGATGGTGGATTCAACAACTTCATTTATTTAATTGTCCAGTCACGCATGAGCTAGTTTATAATTGTAAGCTTTGTTTTGCTCTATTATTCCATTTTTAAAGTTATTTATGCTCACAGTATGTTTATGTTGTAGCACTAGGTAGATTTTTTAGCTTGTGTGCATCAAAGTTTACAATTTTGTGTAGCTCTGATATCCAATCATTTGCATCAAAATTCTTTTATCCGAGTAATCATGAAATTTAGTTTTTAATTATTCGCGGATTTATTGTTTTCTAGAATGTGAATGTCTTGATGTGCTAAAATTTCTTAGGAGAAACATCATGTCTTCAAATGTATTTTTTTAAAATAAGAAGTGTATTGGCTAGCCCTTATACAAGGATTAACAGAATTTTGTTGATTTAGTGTGTGGTATAAGTCGGTGTTATTGCACTCCTTAGCTTTGCTTATTTTGGGAACGCCTTAAGTTTTCTTTTCCAACACTTCATGACGGGCTACGTTTAGTTTTCTCATGAAACTAGAAACAGCAGAAATATCATGCATGGGTGCTAAGGAATTTTTCATCAAATATGTCAATGTAACATTTGTGTTGTAGGAGGAAGAAAATGTGCGGGCTTCCAAAAATGCATGGGGTCGCATGGAGTGTAAGTATTGGCTTGTTCATCTTGATAGGAGCACATCATCATTTAGATATGTAGTTAGTTGTCTTAATCTAAACCCCTTCAAAATTTCCGTTTTTAGGCACTCAAGATCAAACATTAAGTTGTTCAGTTAGCAAGAGCTTATTAGGATATTTATGACTTATTTATATTGGTTGTATCTATCATTTGTTATTTTCTCTTTTTTTTAAATAATGAGTTTTATTAATTATTATAATAATACAATATGTTATGGAGCTTCCTTGTATCACTGGAATGATGGCGCAAAAATGATCAAAACGAGGAATGAAAATTTTCTATTCCCTTGTATATCTTATCCCCTATAAATGTTTGTTTTGATTTGTTGTCTTTTTCTTTTTTCTGTCTCAAGCTTCTTTTATCATGGTATTTTAGTTGACTATCCTAAAGCTGATTTTTCAGCTGTGGTGTTACTCGGAAGGTGTACAGTTGTGCGCATGTTTGTCCACATTTGTATAGTGTTGTATTTTGAAGATGGTGGATTCAACTTCATTTATTTAATTGTCCAGTTAAGCATGAGCTAGCTTATAATTGTAAGCTTTGTTTTGCTCTGTTATTCCATTTTTAAAGTTATTTATGTTCACAGTATGTTTTTGTTGTTGCACTAGGTAGATTTTTTAGCTTGTATGTATCAAAGTTTAAAATTTGGTGTAGCCCTGATGTCCAATCATTTGCATCAAATTTCTTTCATCCGAGTAATCATCAAATTTAGTTTTTAATTATTCGTGGATTTATTGTTTTCTAGAATTTGAATGTCTTGATGTGCTAAAATTTATTAGGAGAAACATCATGGCTTCAAATGTATTTTTTTTTTAAATAAGAAGTGTATTGGCTAGCCCTTATACAGGGATTACCAAAATTTTGTTGATTTAGTGTGTGGTATTATAAGTCGGTGTTATGGCACTCCTTAGCTTTGCTTATTTTGGGAACGCCTTAAGATTTTTTTTCCAACACTTAATGAGGGGCCATGTTTTGTTTTCTCATGAAACTAGAAACGGCAAACATATCATGCATGGGTGCTAAGGAACTTTTCATCAAAACATTTGTGTTGTAGGAGGAAGAAAATGTGTGGGCTTCCAAAAATGCATGGGGTTGCATGGAGTGCGTGTTCGGCTCGAGCCGAACACGAGCTGCTCACGAACAAAGAGGCTTTTTAACAACCCTAACTATTAGCCATAATACATAAGACAATAAGAGTTTGAGCAAGATTTAAAAATTATTATTTATATTAAAACATCATTTGAATCTAATTTAATAATTTTTATTCTATTTTCTTAATCAATATTTTAATTGATTATAAATATTTGTAGCCTTGTAGTCAATTAGATTTTTTAAATTACTACTTTATATATATATATATATATATATATATAAGATGAGTTGTATTTAAATTTTATTATTCATCATTAAATGTTATTTTATTTTTTAACTTATCGAACGAAATTAACGAGCCGAAAACGAGCTTCTTAACGAGCCGAACACGAGCTGTTCGCGAACAACAAGCCGTTTTGACAGCCCTAATGGAGTGTAATTATTGGCGTGTTCATCTTGATAGGAGCACATCATCATTTAGATATACAGTTATCTTTCCTAATCTAAACCCCTTCAAAATTACTGTATTTAGCCACTCAAGATCAAACATGAAGTTTTTCGATTAGCAAGAGCTTATTCGGTTATTTATGACTTATTTACATTGGTTGTATCTATCATTTGTTATTTTCCTTTTTTTTAAATAATGAGTTTTATTAATTATTATAGTAATACAATATATGATGGAGCTTCCTTGTATCGCTGGAATGATGGCACAAAAATGATCAAATCGAGGAATGAAATTTTACTATTCCCTTGTGTATCTTAACCGCTATGAATGTTTGTTTTTATTTGTTCTCTTTTTCTTATTTCTATCTCAAGCTTCTTTTGTCATGGTGTTTTAGCTGACTATCCTAAAGCTGATTTTTCAACTGTGGTATTACTTGGAAGGTGCACAGTTGTGCGCATGTTTGTCCACGTTGGTATAGTGTTGTATTTTGAAGATGGTGGTTTGAAAAACCTCATTTATTTAATTGTCCAGTCAAGCATGAGCTAGTTTAGAATTTTAAGCTTTGTTTTGCTCTGTTATTCCATTTTTAAAGTTGTTTATGTTCACAGTATGTTTATGTTGTAGCACTAGTTAGATTTTTTAGCTTGTGTGCATCAAAGTTTAAAATTTGGTTTAGCCCTGATATCCAATCATTTGCATCAAATTTCTCTCATCCGAGTAATCATCAAATTTAGTTTTTAGTTATTCGTGGATTTATTATTTTCTAGAATGTGAATGTCTTGATGTGCTAAAATTTCTTAGGAGAAACATCATTGCTTCAATTTATTTTTAAATAAGAAGTGTATTAACTAGCCCTTATACAAGGATTACCAGAATTTTGTTGATTTGGTGTGTGGTATAAGTCAGTGTTATTGCACTCCTTAGCTTTGCTTATTTTGGGAACGCCTTAAGTTTTCTTTTCCAACACTTCATGACGGGCTACGTTTAGTTTTCTCATGAAACTAGAAACAGCAGAAATATCATGCATGGGTGCTAAGGAATTTTTCATCATATATGTCAATGTAACATTTGTGTTGTAGAAGGAAGAAAATGTGCGGGCTTCCAAAAAAGCATGGGGTTGCTTGGAGTGTAATTATTGGCTTGTTCATCTTGATAGGAGCACATCATCATTTAAATATGCAGTTATCTGTCCTAATCTAAACCCCTTCAAATTTACTGTATTTAGGTACTCAAGATCAAACATGAACTTTTTCGATTAGCAAGAGCTTACTTGGCTATTTATGACTTATTTATATTGGTTGTATCTATCATTTAATATTTTCTCTTTTTTTTAATAATGAGTTTTATTAATTATTATAATAATTCAATATATGATGGAGCTTCCTTGTTTCACTGGAATGATGGCACAAAAATGATCAAAACGAGGAATGAAAATTTCTAATGAGTGCGGACACACAAGTTCAAATAAAGGAGAAAAAAAAAATTAATAGATTGGAATACATGTAAAGGTATTTGAAAATTTCGCCTATTTTACCATTTTTTTTTTCTTCTTCATCTTTTTCTGTCATTTTAAAATTTATAGGTTTTACTAAGCCAGTCTCATCGATTTCGAGCATTGGTGCTTTTAGGAAGATTTCTTGACATGGGACATTGGGCTGTGGATCAGGTATTGTATCTTTTTGCTGGCTTGCTATTTCCTACAAATAAGGTAAATGTTTTTCTTATATATACTGATCTGATTAATGTTCAAATTCTCCCTATAGGCCTTGTCTGTTGGAATATTTCCTTATGTACTCAAGTTGCTTCAAACAACGGCAATGGAGCTGCGGCAGATTCTCGTTTTCATTTGGACAAAAATTCTCGCTCTCGACAAGGTATCTCTCAGACACATCCTTGCTGCTTTGCATACTTGTTTATTTTTGTTTGGAGCCATTAGGTGGTTCTTTTCCTTTGTTCTATTTAATGATCTACACATTTGTTGATGGGAGGAAGAAGTTGTAATTTTGAAGTTTTTTTGATGCTGTAGCATGCTATTTTTGAGATTGTGAAACTGAATCCTCTATGTTTTTTTTTGTGGGAAAAAGTCTTGTCAGATTGATCTTGTGAAAGATGGAGGCCATACCTACTTTATTAAGTTTCTCGATAGCATGGATGCTTACCCAGAACAGCGGGCAATGGCCGCTTTTGTTTTAGCAGTTATTGTTGATGGACACAGACGGGGACAAGAGGCATGCATCCAAGCCAATCTTTTGCATGCATGCTTGAAGCATCTGCAACTTGCAAACCCCAATGAAGCACAAACTGAGCCTCTTCTACTTCAATGGTTGTGCCTTTGTCTGGGAAAATTTTGGGAGGATTTTCATGAAGCACAAATTATTGGTTTACAAGCAGATGCACCAGCTATTTTGTTCCCTTTGTTGTCAGAGCCCCAACCAGAGGTTTGCCTCTATTTTCTCCCATTCCCCGCACATGTAAAGTTGATTTTTTTACCATTGTAATTTATTTGAATAATGTAGTAATTCTTATATTTTAGGTTAGAGCTGCTGCCATTTTTGCTCTTGGTACCCTTATAGGAGTTGGATCTGACTCATTTAGAGATGGAAATGGAGGTGATGAGGATTGTGATGATGACAAGTCTAAAGCTGAGCTGAGTATTGTCAAGGACTTTATGCAACTTCTTGGAGATGGAAGCCCTTTAGTTCGTGCTGAGGTTGCTGTTGGTATGTAAATAGCTCTTTTGATTTGTGGAACTAAGCTAACCATTTTTCAACATGGCCTCTCCACAAGCTTTGGATACTTAACAAATAATGGGACTTGATGCCATGTAGTAGCTAAATACACCACGCTATTGTTGTCTTATATTAAAATTTAGGACTGCAAGACTTTCATAATCAACATTATAGTTATCATTGTGAAAGCGTTGACAAGCAGCATTGTTGTGCCTATTATTTTGGTGTGGCTTTTTGGATCTTTTTGTAATCCATTCATTTTTAGCATAGTTTTTCCTGTTACCAGTTTTTTAAACTTTTTTTTTGTATAATTTCTAATTATTTTAGCTGCCTTCTTTCCTTTTTTTACCCCTTTCACTCTTTAAATATTTCTTCTTTTCCCCACTTTAGATTTCAATCCATCTTAGTCTGTCTTCTGACATTTTTGTTCCTCTCTTATGAGATGAATACAATTGGACGATCCTACTACTTATGCTCCTTGCATATTTCGGATGTGTCGCCATATTACTTTTTTAACAGTTATTTCACTCTTTATTTTTTGTTTACAAGAAATCCATCTTAAGCTCTCATTTAGGTAAAATTATTTTACCATTGATGTTATCTAAGAATTTATTTGGTTTATGTATATCATAAAATATATAATATGGAGGGTATATGTATATCTTATCCAAAAGCTGTGTATAGAATGGTGACACGGGGTTTGTTGTTGGTTTTTTTTTTGTGTGTGTGTGTGTGGGGCAGGGGGGGGCGGGGGGGGGGTTGG